GGAATCCATGGACTGGCTTGGGAAATTGGTTGGATCCCTCCCTAGAATGCCATGCAGCTGCTTATAGAAGCCACAAGTTTGTGAGGCTGCCGCTTTGCCTGCTGGTACAACTGCCTCAGCTCCTTTATTTTCACACGGCACTGCTGGGCATACCTGGCATAGCCTTTCTCCACCATGCCCTGTAAGATCTTGACATAGATATCAGCATTTATTTTCCTGCTTCCTCTCCCCATACAGCAGTAAAGTCCAGGATCTCCTGCACGCTCCATGCTGATGCTTGTTTGTGACCCAAGGGATTTATGGTGAGGGGTACTGCGTGCTCAGAGCTCTGCTGTCCACACAGGAAGTGAAATTCAAATTTTCCCACAGCTTTTCCCGTACATCCGGAAAAGCAGTAGAATTGAAAGTCCTGGCCAGAGCAGTCACAAGGGGGTGCTGTAGTCATCGTCCAGAGACCAAGAACCAGAGAGCAAGACTTTCACAGTGCTGCTAGGGTTGCCAGGTATCCAGTATTCAACCAGACAGTCTGTTTTTGCACCCTCTGTCCAGTAAAAAAATCAGAAAATACGAGACATGTGCAATGTCCAGTATTTTCTGCTTTTCCGGCTGGGTGCCAGACAGAAGCCGGTCAGGGATGGGGGGAGTGGCTGGGGAGGCAGGGCTGCGATCGGTGCTGGGAGGTTCATGTAGTCTAAATAGATGATGTAGAGTGTTGCTTGTTTATAATAAAGTTTCCTTTTTTTTTTGGTCTCGACAAACTTTTAGTACATTTGTTCGGTATATATGGGAGTTCCTCCCCCCCACCAAATTTTTAGCACATTTGGTATTTTTTGGGAAACCATCTGGCACCCCTAAGTGGTGTGTCTGCACTACCCTTAAGTCAGTCATGTAAGATCAAATTGATCATTACTCCTTGCGAAAAGCAGGAATACTGAAATGGACTTCAACGGCCCTTAAAGTAGATAGAACAGGCGGGGTGGTCTGGACTCATTGTTGACTAATGCGATTAAACTAGCGTAGGCCAAGCCCAGTATATGGGTTAAGTAGCCTGGGGATAAGGCTTCAGCTAAACTTTATTAATAAAGCTCAACCCAAGAAAGGACAAAATGTATGTCTCCATGCAGCATTTTAGAACACATTGTAGAAGGCAAAAAACACTTGCTTATAGAAACTTATCACAAAAACTGGACTGGGGAGGCTCTGGATAGGAGCTCTTAAAAGGAATAACTTTTCACAACATGTGTAATTAACTTGCGGAACTCATGAGCACAGGAAGTGATTGAGGTCACAATATTAGTAAGGGCAATGAAGGGATTGGATATTTATACAACATCAAGACTATCCAGTTACCATAATTAATAACAGCAGTTTTAGAATGACCTTGTGTTTTTGGTCACAAGACAATCTTTAATTATGAAAAATCATCAGGAGTCCTAGGTTTGAGGGCAGATAATTTCACATCTGCTTACTACAAACTTCTTGCACCACACTATGAAGCAACAGGTCCCAGCCTCTATCGAAGACAGGATACTGGATTGGATGGGACAGAGTCAGATCCAATCCAGCAAGTCCTACATTTGTTAGCTGCCAGCAATGTGCTTGATGCTATGCAAAACACAGACTGTGTCCCACAAAGAACACTCCACCAATTAGAAAGAACACAAAATACACTGGGTATCCTGAGGCAGAAGTTGTTTAATATAAATGGATGAGTTAACAGGGAAGTACCTAAAAATGCAAGTTCCAAGGACACTGTCTCAGACAGTTTAAACACAAAAGTGGACTATTAAAAACAGAAAGAAAAAAAAACCCCAATCAGAAGGAGGTAGCTATGCAAGTGGGTGGGAAGGGACAACAGGAAGAGGCCTGGGTGTTAATTCAAGTGGGTGGCTAGATACTAGTTTGTCAGAGCAGACCCTCCATCTATGGAAGCTGTCGTCACTGCTGGCCTGCACAAAACGTTTTGGCTGGCAGCCTGCAGCAGCGCAGACTTTTCTCCCTGTTTGTGCCAGACTTCTCTTACTGGGGTAGTATAGGGCTGTCACTTGGATACATCGAAAAAGGCCAAAAGATATTAATGGATTTTTTTTTTTTTTTGGTTAAAAGCAGGTTGGCAAATACTTTTATTTTCTGTGACAAATCACTCTGAAAGGGCACAAGAGCCAGCTGTGCACAGAAGCGTGCAGCTGTACTAAAGAGAACAACAAACAGGAAAAGGTAACAATAAGCAAATTGTTTGTTCTCTCTTCCTATTAAAGGGGGTTAGCAAATATTTTTAATGTGGATGAAAGGCGCTAGTCATAAGCCCATCAGAACTTTACAACCTCAAACACGCAGGTTACTCGTACGGACAGCGCTTTTGCATTCTTCTGCAATGTCTCACCACTACCGCTCTACGTAAATAAAAATGAGTAAGGAACCAGAGTCTCTCCATCATTATGAAAGATGCAGCTCTGTACCAACTTGCTTAATCTGCAGCACTTGCAGCCAGGCCCTCCCCAGAATAAGCAAGAAGCAATTCAAGACAAATTGTTCTTTCGGCTGGTGCCTTATACTTTGAACACAAAACGTTTTCATAGGCCAACTGCACTGTTGACTCCATTTTACTTGTTACCCGCTTTGTCCTACATACACTACTTCCACTGGGTCACACCTGCCGCAGCTTTCCTTAGATAACAGCTGCTGATTCATATTATGTTCAGGAACATTTAGAGCAGAACAAAAAATTCCCACAAGAAAAATGACAACTGTAGTTCAAACCGGCTGACCAGTAAGCAGAATGGCATTACCCAATAGTCATTCCCCCACATTCACTGGAAAAGTTCAACTTCCCAGAAAGTAGCAACTGCCACAGATCAGTATTTACTGACCTATCATGGCCAATACTGAATCAGTCAGACTTTGGTATTTTAGGCCAGTTATTCAGATTATTCTCGTACAAAAGTTACAAGATGTTGTTCATATTTACTTCCAATGGCGAGTGTCCTTCTCTAGGACAACACATCAGCATGAGACCTGGGTGCTTAATTTTTTATTTATTTTTTTAAAATACAAACTAAGTGCTGTTTTGACTCAAAGCCTGGACACCACAGAGGCCATCTCTCAATCTACAATCCAAAATGCTAATGGAGAACCCATTTGATTAGAACCTCCGATAGCACTTTGCTTCCAAACAGATAGCAAAAGGCTGGTAGGATGTAACCTTATCTTGTGCCACATCAGCCAAGAGGGAATAAGACGTATGTATTTGTGGTTGCAGTGGCTTGCATTATGACATCCGACGGAGTGCACTGCACAACTGAAAACTGTGTGGCTGGCACCAAGGTGTTTTGCTTTTCCCAAGTAGTTTTCTGTAGTATAGGGGACAACCTGTAAGTCTTGACAGCGTCCTTACAAGCTACCGAGTGGAAGACAGTTGGCAGCTCAAAGAAACGTAGCACCTTCCAAGACTGAATTGATAGCTCAACAGCAAGTCCATCTTTCAAAAGATATCACAACCCAGCGGCCATGCTGATTTGCATCCTTCTCCTTCCCTCTAGTTTGTTTAGAATCTGCTGAATCTTCTAATAATGGGAAAGCATGACATTTGCTGTGTATTTCAGGTAGCATAGCTAGGACTTGGCACCAGTATCTAGAGTGCTAAGATACATGAACATTTTTAATAAATAAAATGGGCATATATACCTAAGCCAAAGTTTTTTTTAAAAAATGGAGTCAGCTTCTCTCAGTTTGGAGGTGTTTGATACATCATCCACTTTACTGAGTCAGCTTTAAATTTAATAAAAAACACTGTTCCTGTGTCTGCCAACTTGCACAGGAAGGTATTTTGTACAGCAGCACAATACAATAGGATGTGTTCAGTTTGCATCTTGAAAACAAACTTCTATATCTGAAAGTATATTCAGAAGGCAAGGGATGGAAGAAAACAATAGATACTGGTGCCAGACAGACAGCTGTAAGAATCCCACTAGCAGACACTTGCTCACCTCCAGTGGTGGCTACACATCCAATAAAATTACACAAAATTTGCCAACACTTCATCACATCACAGCCGGGTGCCGTAGGAACGATAGTTGTCTCCAACAGCATTCTATCCTCCCTACAGAGCGAGACAGGAGGTACTGAAGCGCTGCAAGGCAAGAAATGTGCTTGAATATATGAGGCACATTGCAATAAAGATATTACAGCAAAAGAAAGGGCAAAAAAAAATACTTCCCTGCACTATTATGATTTCCTTCCTTGCAGCTCTCTGCAGTACCAGTTCTTTCAAACTTTCTGTCCCTGATTGGGTCCTTCAGAATATAGCAAAGGACAGCTTATTTTGTCTCTTCACGGGCAGCCAGCCAGCATGTCCAACTTGTGTTTTCTTTTTTAAAGGGCCCCATTCCAACTCACACTGAAGAGAGCCTTTACATTTACTTCAATGGGAGTAGGCTCAGTACTTTAAATCCCCAGTCCTGTGAATACTTATACATGCAAGTAATTCTGCTTACAGGAGTAGTCCAGTTTATTTCAGTGAGGCTATTCCCCCAAAATACAATTTATGCAAGAGTTGTCTCAGGTGAACCAACTGTACTGTATGAGCAAAGTCTTTACGTATTTGCAGGATAGGAACTGTGACCTGGTACCCATGTTCCCAACCTACGAACAACAGCTCCAGAGACAGAGCATATACTGCGGCGTTCTTCACAAATGGGCCAGATCAAAAAATCTCATTCAAGACAGTGGAAAGACTCACAAGGATATCAGTAAGCTCTGAACTACATTCAGTATCATTAGGACATCAAAACAGAAGAATAGGGTGTGAATATTTAGTTTGCCTCAGGGACTGGGGATTAAACCTTAGAGGTCTGTCCCTGACAGACAAGAATACAGCAATTCCCCCAAATACCTAAAATCCAAGTGGCCCTGAAAAAAGTAGTTTGTCTTTCAAAGAGACAGTGAAACCATGCTCATGGATTTTTTTTTAAAGTGCAGTTAAAGAGGGAATACATAAAATATACAACTCTATCACATTTTATTTTGTGTAAATTTATAAAGACAACAATCCTCATCACGATTGTCACATTTTACAGCACACACCAATACAGCTGCAAACAAAACTGCACGCAAAAATACTAAGCGCTAACAATAGTTTCTTAAAGTCACTCTTTACGCGATTGTCGTATCTAGACTAAACAGTTTAATACTAACACTGAAGAAAAAATAGCTCACTATAAAACAGTGATAGAACATTTTTATAAAATATATTCCATTCCAAGAGCTTTTCTACATCCTGTATACTATAAAACTCTCACAAAAATTAGTGTCTTTAAATATACATATTTAATCTGAACCGCACCAAGATTAAAAACAATTAAAAATATTGATGATTTTTTACATTAACTTCACAGTATTTGTTTGTAGTAGTAGTAGACAAATCCAGTGTTTTAAAATTTAGAGCAGTACTATTCTCTACAGAGAAGGAACTCCCCCACAGTGAAATATTTTATGAAAACATAAGTGTGCAATGTTTTTAGTACTTCTCTGTAATGAAACATTTTTGAAGACATGCTCAAAGCTATTGCAACTTTAAAAAGATCCCAAAGACAGAGTGCACCAAAAAAAAAAATCACTTTAAAATAAAAGTGCAAACATCTTTAATTTAAAAATTCAAGCTATTAAGGTTGGGGAGAAAAATACTAAGCTATGAGTAAAGAACAATGCATTAATGCACTAAAAGAAAAAAAACCCACCCCTTGTTATTTTTTTAAAACCAGTATCCCATTTTCAATGAAATACAGAGCATGCTCACAGCATTAGTTTCGTGAGTTATTTCTAGACTAAAGTCAGATACAAACTTGTTTTGACTTTCCCCTGCCCCTATATTAATGTCTTATGGCACAATTTAGGATACTGGATCTTTAATAAAAAAAATAAAAAAAAAAACCACACACAAAAATAGGAAGTGAGTGAAATGCAACAGCAGTATCGCAAAAAATGCAAAATTTAAAAAAATATTGCTAGTTTAGATAACACCACTACTGTATTAGTTGTTCTTTACAGCATGTACAGACATTTGTGTAAGATTGAAGGTGAAGCATAGATTAACTTACTTTGAAATAGTTTAACAGTAATAATTCCACTTCAAATAATTCTAATAAATACTATATCAAGTATCATCAGGAGAAAAAAAATAACTTAATTTTAGTAGATTTTTGTTCAGTGCTATTTCCAATCACAGCAAAAAAAAGTGATTAAGTAAAAATAAGACCACAGTACCAAAGTACCAAAGCCATTTCTGTTTAAACATACAGTGCTCTCCCATGTTCCTATGTAACAGGTTCAGCAAAAGATATTTTACAGTGATACAAAGAAGTTAGTCTGAACAAACTAAAAGTAGAAGTAAAATTTCACATTACATGTACATTCATAGTTTAAGAGATGAATAAAAAGGAGGTTGCAACAAGTGACGTCCTGATTTTTTTTTAAAGTACTTTCACTAGTAGATCAATATCACAATTACACTGTTGAAACCACATAGGTAGTAGTGCTTACTTAAAACATATAAAAGGAAATGCTGGACAATTCCTTCTTTTGGGATGAAATCCAATATTCTGAAGAATCCACTTCAGTGCTTCAAATTCATTTAAAAATAAATGATTAAACTTCAAGAAGCCATCCCAGGAGTGTCAGTAAACTTGACAAAATAACTTATTTTTCTTAACTAAAAAAGATTCAGTCCAGAAAAAATGAAATTCAAAACCACAGATATAATAAGAATTCAGATCTGCATGTGTGTGTTCCTTGAATGGACCCTTTGAAGTGGAGAGGCACAATCTGATATTTACTGACATACAGACTAAAAGATAGTTATCTGCCTAAGAGAACAAGAGAATTCAATAACTAGTTATATTAAGAGAACAGTGGGAAAGTTAATATATCATTTGGCTGGTGTGAAACTAGCAGGGCCAAGTTCCTGTGCTGGATTGCATTTGTGCTACCCCAGAAATTAGTAAATTCCACAGAACTTGGCCCAGGGCAGTTGCCAACTTTAACACCACGTAAGCCATGAAAAAAAAAATTCAAGCTTCTGATCTTTACCATAAGTCATTTAGTAAAATTAAAGATTTGGGGTTTGTTTTTTATAGTATCAAAAGATTCTACAGGATCTTGAACCAATCAGAAATCTCTGTTAAAGAAACTGATTCATTATTATACTGACCAATTTCCTCTTAAGGATACTGGTCATCAGTTCCTAACTAGCTGCTCAGCCATTTCATTTCCTTCACCAGCCTCTGCACAGTTGTGTACTTTTATCCAGTCCCCAATGTGTAAGCAAGGTTATGGCACATATTACAGGCCCAATCTTGCATCCACTGATAGTTTACTCACTGAAGTAATTGTCCTCCAATGGGAGCAGGATTGGTCCCTGTGTTTGTTGAGACAGGGATGAAAACATGTTCATATATCATATGAGCTTACAAGTGTACTCTAGTGCGTATCCTTGGACAGCTAAGGCATGAATACAGTGCAGATAGAAACATGTTTCTACCCACATTTTAAAGTTCAAAAGCAGCTCAGTGCCATTCCACAAACAGTAGTCCTTGGAGGAGGGAAGGGGAGAAAGATGTTTAAAAAACAAGAACAAAAAACCCTTTACTTCCAAGTATGCCAAATCTGTATGCAAGACTTTTCATTCAGATTTTAGGATTGATTGAAAACCTACTTTGATATAATAGTAAGACTCAAAGGCCAAACTGTACCAGATACGTAAGTACAATTCAAGGAATTCTCAAACCTCTTTTGAAAACTGGGCCAATTAAAAAGCCACTTTTTGAAAAGACTGTATGGCTCATCTAGAGGCATATGGAGTTCAGTGAGCAGATTCCCTCAATACACATTAAAATAAGCTATAGTTCAGCTCTTTTGCTGTCATGAGATACACAGGTAGAATTTAGGGGACTTTAGTAAATCTTGGCGTATTTCTCTAATTCTGGGGGGGCGGGGGCGTTAATTGGAAAAAAGGGGATGGCAAACATTAAGCAAGTACTTACAGCATGAAAGATAGAAACTAAATCACTGCAGAAGTACTTAAATAATTTTCTCCCTACTAACTTGGAAATAATGTAACAATGGTGCACAGCAGACAACAAGCGGCGAGGGAAACAGGAAGAAAAAAAAAAGGCGGCTATGGCAAAAAGGCCTTTGTAGTGTACTCTTAAGCATCTTTCAACATCGTTTACGGATATGAAGATAAATAAAAAAGAAAATCAGATGCTGCCTTTAAAAAAAACCCACACATTACATTAGCAACACAAAAGTTAAAAGCTTGTCCTCAAACCACCAAGGACTTTACGAGGCCACAATGAAATTTACGGATGTGTCTGTATAAGTCACCGGATTGTGTAAATCGTCTCTCACACCATTTGCAGCCATGGGGTTTCTCTCTGGTATGCACTACTGCATGACGGCTGAGATTGTGGGAATACTGGAAGCTCTTTCCACACTGGGCACAGGTATAAGGCTTTTCACCTGAGTGAGTTCTTTCGTGTCTCTTTAAGGTGTACATGCAAGAAAAAGTCTTCCCACAAAGCGTACAGGTAGGCACCGAACCGTCAGGTGACAACCTGGTCCTTGAGCCATCTTTATCTCTGAAGTGAGAGCTCAAATGCAGCTGCAGGATGTGCGGGTTTGGAAAAACTTTGCTACAGAGCGGGCAAATGCAGATATGTCCAGGAGGCACAAGCACACCAGAGGAGGAGATATCTGATGAATCCATGTCATCTTCACTTTCATCTCTGTCTTGATCTATCTCATCTTCTCTTGTGTGAGAATTGCCGTTTCCCGCGAACATGTGTCCTAACCCTGTCACTAGGCTTTTGGCTGAATTCCCAAAATGCTGACTCTCTGGACTCCTTGCTTCACTGTCCTCCTGATCTGACAGCAAGTCTTGTTCATCTTTAACAAGTGGCTCAGTACCCTGCTGCTGGCTGTCGGAAGCCAGCTGTCCAAAGACGTAGGAGGGGTGTAAGGAATCTCTCCCAGACACAGGCTTGAAAGACAAATCCAGAGCACAGTCCACATCACTCGGAGCCGGGGGATGGTTAACAGACCTTTGGGACAAAGGTCCTGAGGAACTATTGACATTAGCTTTTGTTTTTCCAGCTGCTATGGTACACGATTCTGCCTCTGCAGACACAGAGCTGACACTTATAGAATCAGAGGACCAGCCAGGGTGACCACTGACCTTATCTTTATTAGTTGTTCTATCATATTCTGCTACATTGAATTTTTGTTTGTGTCCCGGGTCAAACTCGTGTACCAGGTGCACGCCAGGGTCTAAAAAATGCTCTTCCTTTTCCAAATTAGCCACATCCTCATTCATCTTTTCTTCCAAACACAATTCTTTATCTTTCAGCTTGCCCTTGCAGACTTTCACAATGTCATACATGTGAAGGTAGCTCGCTGCAGCGAGCACATCTTCAACTGGAAGACTGTTAAACTCCAGCTTGCCTTCGTACATGAATTCAAGCAGCAGACTGAAGGCTGGGGCTGTGACAATGTCACTGTTCAGATGCACAATATCCCTTTTGTCTAACTGGTCCCTGTAGAAAAGATGGAAGTACATGCTGCAAGAAGCAAGAACAGCTCTGTGGGCTCTGAACTGAGCTTCTCCAACTAAAACAGTACAGTCACACAGGAAGCCCTGGTGACGCTGCTGACTCAGACACTGCAGCAATTGGCGGCTATGGTCTGGAAACTCCATTCTTCCTTCATAACCTGTTCAAAACAGGAAAAACTTGAATGCTACTATACACTAAAGGCTCCTAGCAGCTGTAACAGATTGGCTTTTGGGTAATACCAGCCGAAGAAACAGCCTTGGAGATAACGTTTACTGTTAATTGTCTAATCGGTTTTTTTTTGTTTTTTGTTTTTTTTAAAGAGAGAAATCCAACATGCTTCTCATCCCTCAACACCTGCTCCAAACAGGAAAAACTTGATTGTAAGTAAACAAAAGCTTCCAAAGAAGCAGCACCTCCAACCTTTGTCTCTTTCACTAACAAATTGGGGGTGGGGAGAAAGAGGGAGGGAGAACCACCACCCAGCAGTTTAAGCATTCCTGGAAATGCTTAACTCGGGGCATCCGTTTTGTTCTTTTCATGAAAACCAACAAATCCACCCCCACACTTAACTTTATGCACATTCATTCTACATTAAAGAATAGATCACTCATTCATTGCTTGCACAGTGGGAGGAGGTTGAACACTTCAGGGATTTGGGGGAGGAGAACGGTCCTGTGAACCAACCCCCCCCCCCACACACACATACAAAGTTGACTCCCCTAAAAGTTATTAAAAGCAAACAAATAAGAGAGAGAGGGGGGAGGCTACAAGTCCAACTACCTGCAGTAACAGCTCCGAGGAGGGAGATCCAACAAGGCGGCTCACCTGACCCGGCTGCCACGCTGGGATTGAGGGGTGCATGGAAAAAAAAATCCCCTTCTGGAGGCGCCCAAGTTTGAGGCGGGCGAGCGCTCCCGGGGCTGGGCGCTGGAGCTCGGCAGTAGCGGAAGAAAAGCAGGCGGGTGAGTGCGTGTGCGAGAGAGAGGAGAGTGTGCGAGTGAGGGAGGGAGTGCTCGGTTTGCTAATTACACTGCAAGCTGGAGAGTCAGCTGCTCTGACTTCACTGCGATGGAAATGCTACCTCCAGCTGTGCTCCTTTTAATGCCATATGTTACTCCAAATCTAGCTACCAGCCAACCACAGCTTGCTGCCTTTTAAAGTTCCAGCAACCCCATTTATAGCCATCTATTAAATCCCATAAACTTAAACCGAGTCCTCCCCTAGCGCTGCCTCCCCCCTCCCCCTCCCCAGCCCAAAGAATAATACTGGGAAAGTTGCTTCATGACAATCCCCCGGCTGCAGCCGCGCAGAGGGACGAGGGAGCCCGTGTGACCTTTGCTGGGAAAAGTTCCCAGCTCCAGCGCAGCTCGCAAACGCTGCAGGGGAGGGCAGGCTCCGAGTTGCGCCTGGGCTCGCTGAGCTGGGTGGCCCATTGCGGTTCCCCTCCCAGCCCCCCAGAACTTTATGGGACGATTTGCCTGGACTTTCCCTTTGTGATCAGACTCCGGGAGGGGACTGGGGAGGGGGGGAGGGGACAAATGCACAAAGTTCCCAGCTCCAGCGCAGCTCGCAAACGCTGCAGGGGAGGGCAGGCTCCGAGTTGCGCCTGGGCTCGCTGAGCTGGGTGGCCCATTGCGGTTCCCCTCCCAGCCCCCCAGAACTTTATGGGACGATTTGCCTGGACTTTCCCTTTGTGATCAGACTCCGGGAGGGGACTGGGGAGGGGGGGAGGGGACAAATGCACCCGAGAGGACCGAGCCAACCCCCGCCCCGGGGGAGGGTGCCCCCGGCAGAAGGGGGGGAG